CTTGCAATGCCACTGACATGCCCTGTTCTTTCTTGCCAAGACCCTGCCCTTCTTTAAAGCCATACTTAGCCATTATTTTTGCTGCTACAGACGATGTTGAATAGCCCAAATTAGTTGGCTGTCGTGGTGGTGGAGGTGGCAATTCTGCAGATTCTTGTAAGGACGGTGGTGGTGCTATAGCAGCGCCTCCTACCATAGCTCTCGAGGTCGGTGTTCTCTCCTCATCTCTTTCAGGAGGTATCATTGCACTGTTTCCACCAGCAGTCTATTTACAAACATAAAATGTTAATATTTTTATAATACTTTATTTTTATTTAGTATAACATTCACATCAAGTTCATTATTACTTTTAAATTACTATTATATTTTATTTATTTTTATTAATTATTATTATAACTTTTAAATGATTTTCATAGTTTTTCTTGGTCAATCTAACAGCACCAAGTGTATTCATATAAAAATTTTTCTATTTAAATTAATTTTTTTCGTTTTACTGTTGCTTCTTTAATTCTTTATGGTAACACTTAAACTGAATAAGGTAATACAATTTTGTGTTATAATAATGTTTTAAAGAAGAATTAATAAATAACTACTATTACTACTTTGATTAGAAAACAAAGTGTTTTTGAATAGACTGTGATATAATTTCTTTTAAGAAATTTAGAAGAATTAAAGCTATTTGAAATTGGAATAGAAAAATTTTAAGATCCTTCAATAGGAATATAAAAATATATACTTAGGTTTTTATTGTACAAAAATTATAGATAGTAACTCTTGGATTACATTCTTTTTTACTTAGCATCATTGTTTTACCTTTTTTTTTAAAGGTAATTTTGTACAGATTATATATTACCTGAGTGTCTTCAAAGCGAGTACTATCTCTCCGGCGTTTGCGCATTTCTGTCTCTTGATCATGTTCCCTATCCCTGATGTCACGTAATTCTTTTACAACTTTTTCATATTCATTAGGCCATATAGGATCATATTCATTCACTACGTTCCAATCAAATTCGCCACCTACTCCTATGTTGCTCACGTTGCCACTGGATAATGGATTGTTATGAGTACTGTCATCCTCTCTGTCAACATCGCGATTAGCTTTCGACTTCAAGTCTATCACTGGTGCTAATACCGCAGAAGCTTTTCTGTTTTGTTCACGTTTTGGCTGAATTTATAAATAGCAATTAGAAATTTATTTTTAACAAATGAAAATTACATCGAAAATTATTTTTTAAGTAATTATTTAATATGTATTGATTAAGATAGATTTACCTGTGTAGTAGCAGCCTTTTTCAGCTGCAACTGGGATTGCAGTAATTTAATGCCGGAAGACCATCCAGCAACTTTCTCTGTGGTTCGATGCTTGTCAAAATCGTCGTACAAAGACATATTGAGTTATTTCAACGTTTAACTAACATCTGACTGCATCTGACATTTCAAATATAACCTCAACCGGCTCAATTTGAGAAGTTCATAGATTCAATAAACTTATATAGAAGTGTATACTGTATACTAGACTCAAAAACCATAGACATAGTATAGAGAGACCGAATATGCAGCACGAGATGTGGTGTGCGTGAAGAAGGGAACAGAAATGAAATTTATTAAGGCACTATAATGGGTGCTTTCCAATGGGAGCTTAAGGGCCTGCGCACAATAGAGGAACAAGAATAATATATTAAGATTTCAACCTATCAGAAACCGTGTATTCCGATGTAATCAGTTTCTGATAGGTTAAAATCTTAATATCTAATTCCTGTTCCTCTATTGTGCTCAGGCCCTAAAACCCTATTGTAGATCCGGACTTACGGAACGCACCTCAAAACTTTCTAATTCCGCCATGTTTCATCTTAAGGCCCGTCTACAATACACGGAGTAAGAAGTAAGAGTAAGAAATTGACCAATCACAGTCGAATGTGAGAAGAATAATCGACTGTGATTGGTCAATTTCTTACTCTTACTTCTTACTCTGTGTATTGTAGACAGGCCTTTATGATTGGTGGTGGTCCTCTAGTATTCCGTTAGTTCAAGTTCTTTCTCCATCACGGCAAGATGGGTAAGTGACATGATTTTACTGAAATTAATTTTCATCGTCACGAATCTGAACTTTTTCGCCGCGATATCGTAACAAAACGTAACCGGCGCGTAAATCAGATATCATCTTTTTGTCGGCAAGGAATATTATTTTCGTCCTTTCGACCTGGGTTCGTGGAAACTGGCTCGACGCTTGTCGACGTTGAGCATAGCCATGTCGAACTCATGATACTTTCGTGATTTGTATTTTCCCTTTTTAACAATGAAACCCATGTTTTAAACAAATGTAAATATTGTAGATTGTCCATGCATTTATTAATTTCTCTAATCTATACAGAAAAAGTTGTATTGTACAATGTGATATAGTGCTTGGTTAGGTTAACTTTTCTTTTTTAAAGTTTTTTTAAAGAGCTTAAGTTAAGAAGCTCGAGAGTTTAGTAAGTTATTTTATCAATATTGCATTATAGGTATTTCTCGGGATCACTGGCATAAGCGGAGAGCCACTGGTGGAAAGAGGAAGCCCATTCGCAAGAAGAGGAAATTTGAGTTAGGACGCCCAGCTGCAAATACCAAACTTGGCCCACAGCGGATTCATACTGTAAGCTTAATGTTCTCAAACTTAACTTTCACTATGATGGAATTATAGAAGTAAAGCATTAGTTATAGAATAAATCTCAATATTATTAATACAATAAATTTCAATGTCATAATGAACAGAATTATAGTTTACAGTCATTGATTCGTAAGCGTTGGCTGCATTCTATTTAATGCTTGCATCATTTGTCCTTGTTTAACATTTGATAAACGACAAGGATAAAGTGATTTTATTGCTCATTCGAGCTTTGTAAGCGTTAAATAGAACACAGCTATTGTCATTGTTGTATATATACTTGATGTTATATATACTGTTACAATTACTCATAAAAAAATATTTTAATAATTGACTCTTTACTATGAAGTTATAAAGTGATGATCCTTACCTACTCTGAGTGCCATGATTGTTCATAATCTCACAGCGATCTGACGTATATTTTATAAATACATATATTTAGTGTGTTGAAATCAGTTATACATATATATTTTATTGTGTGTATATACTAGGTCCGTACACGTGGAGGCAATAAAAAATACAGAGCACTTAGATTAGATGCTGGAAACTTTTCCTGGGGTTCTGAATGCAGCACCAGGAAGACTCGTATTATTGATGTTGTTTACAATGCGTCAAACAATGAACTAGTACGAACCAAAACTTTGGTGAAGAACGCCATTGTCACCATCGATGCTACGCCTTTCAGGCAGTGGTATGAAGGTCATTATGTACTGCCACTGGGCCGCAAGAGAGGTGCTAAACTTGTGAGTATTTAAATATAATTTAATTTAAATTTATGGAATATTATATGTATGATACATAAAATGAAGTATAATTGTTTTCTTAGACGGAAGCTGAAGAAGAAGTGTTGAATAAAAAACGTTCTAAAAAAGCAGAATCCAAATACAAGGCGAGACAACGATTTGCCAAGGTTGAACCTGCTTTGGAAGAACAATTTGCAACGGGACGTGTTCTTGGTATGAAAATTTTTAATCCTTTTAATTTTGTACAAAATTAATTTGTTAACATGTACTTTAATAGATTAACGTTTCTTTTCAAATGAGTTTAAAGAGATGTTTTAGTTTAAATCAATACTCTTAATAAGATATTCTTCATTCTCTTTTATATACACATATTTTAAATTTAACATAACTTGGAATTAATAATTTTATTTTCTCATTTTTAGCTTGTATAGCAAGCAGGCCTGGACAGTGCGGTAGAGCTGACGGTTATATTCTTGAGGGCAAGGAGCTTGAGTTTTATATGAGGAAGATTAAGAGCAAGAAAGCTAAATAATTATAATTATGATTCATTAATAAAAAACGAGCTTGAAATACGAAAGAAACTGTCTTATTTATTATTCTCTTCGAATGGAAGTAGATGAACTCGTTAGATATTTTCAAAATATAGATATGGATGTGGAATAACGCATTTAAAATGTTTATAAATTGGATACCTAAGTAATAATTAAAAATTAATTTGAAGTAATTAATCGAGATAGCGTGGTGCTTTTAAAAACTGATTAAAGTAATTTTTAGATGCGTTTCGAGCAATTTCGAGTTAGGCATGAAGCGCATGATACATTATTTGTCCTTGTTTACTAAATAATAAAGGAGGAAGCAGTCATAGGTCTGCTCTTTTTTAAAAAGTTCTTATACGGTTCATTTTTTTTTCCTTTTCTTTCCATGTTGAGAGGAAAAGAAAAAAGATTAACCGTGCAAGACGTTCAGCTAAAAAGAACAGATTTCGTGTCATAAAAGTGCGAAACGCTATCGGCCTTTGACTATATACCTCTGGACTGCTAGTTACCCCCACTTTTCCTACCTTTTCCATAAGATAGAAAGAGAGGACCGTGTATCCAAGATCTCAGAGCCA